ATATGAATAACTGTTCCAGCTGGGATTTTACTTCTTTATAGGTTTTATATCAACAAATCTTACATGTTGAAAGCAGCAAGCGTGAATGATGTGTCTCAACCAACTGTGAAATGCAGATCAGGCTTCTGCTGAGCTTCAGATCAATAATATGACAAGAAATAAACAACTTTATTTGGGAGCATTTTTTGCTTTGTTTTAGGCAGTTGAAATACACATGACCTTGTTTCAGGTTTCCGTGTATATTTTTTCAGATGTTAGAAATTTTCTTTGATGTATTTTTGGATTTTTTTGTGTGTACCCCATGTGAGATAAATATTTGGAATATTTATGAAGGTAGTGATTTAAAAAATAAATTATTAATACTGTGGTGATCCAGAAAATTACCTGACTTGCACAGACACACATTGGCTTTTAGTGCACTGAGCTGTAATTTATTTTTGTAGAAGTAAGTTGATTTTTTTTCCCTTTTGTTTCTATGACATGACGATTTCTCTGTGAATCCTAGTAGACTGATGGAGATAAAACTATCAAAGCGATTTTTATTTCTTGAGTTTGCTATGAATTTCAGTAACAAACTGAAAAAGGAAGAAACAAGTTTAGGGCTGCATTTTGTACTTTTATGTACTCAGAAAATAAGTAAAATGAGATTCAGAAATGTATGGGAAAAGGACCTGGATTTGTTTGTCTGTGCTGATGAATAAGAAATACTGTAACCGAAGCAGTGAATTAAAGCATGCATCATCAAAAAAACCTTCATTTTATTGCAGTTGGTTTTAATATTGTCTGTGATGTTTGAGCTACGCTACTTTTTTCTTTCCTTCTCTTTTTTCCCTTTTTTTTCTCCTTAAACTTCATGATATATTTGATATATCTTCTGTTTCTAGTTTATCTGGGGTGTCAGGAATCCTTTTGGTCAGAAAATTACATTTCAAGAATTTATGCTAGAAACTGGAAGAAAGGTATCAACCAGCTGACAATCTATACACCTGAGAGCAAAGAGTGTTAGGAAAGAATGTAACATCCTTTTCTGCTTTCAGCTGTGAACTTGGGCCAGCACTAAATTTCTTCTCAGTGCAATAAAAAGAGAGAGGAAGGGATGAATGGAGAGGAGTGAGAATATCTGTTGTCTTCAGTTGCTTCCTTGTCAGCACCCTTGCTTGGGGATGTTGGTAGAGTTATAAATGGGGCAGATCATCTGCTTCCTGTAAAAGTGGGATCAGTTTTAACAAACTCACCTTCTCTTCAGAAAGTGCAAAGTGTTTTGCAGTACTTTTTGCCATCCCACCCCCACCTTCATCCTTGCAGTTTAGGTAGTCATTCAGTTGCCATGAGCCACGTTTTCGGGAGGATTACAAAATATACAGTCATTATCACTTGTGGTTTAATGTGCATGGGCTTAATGTCAATTGCAGAATCTACAAAGATTATTCTTTTCCCTGTTCAGACATTGGTAATCCTTTGTTTGATCATCACCCTAAGGTTCCTTCTCTTTAGTCTACTCATGTTGCAAGATTGTTATTCTTTCTCAATTCCAATGAAACACAGATTTAATGTTACCTTGCAATACAAGAAAGGTGAGATAAGGAGAGCCCTATCCTGCTGCAGTTGTTACAGGGCTTACAAAAGATTATAGGGGCAAAAATACTTATTGAGCTCATGCTACATAGTAAGAATAAATGAGAGTTTACTTGAAAACAGGAAAGCAAGAAAACATGCAGTTGAAGTTGAGAATTCTAAATTTGCAATCTGATTTGATTTATTTCTTCCCTATATCACTTCTGAGACAAATGCTGTCTGCTGCTTGTTTCCATTTGCTGTCTGGCACGCTGTTGGCTGTTACACCAGAGCTGTGTGAGATCAGGTGATGTCTTCCCTATCAGGGCAGGAGGGAATCAGGAAAAAGCTACTTTCAGAAAACCTGGTTTCCTCCCTATCTCTGTTTTTTCGGTGAACTACAAAACTGGAGAATCTGACAGAGCATTGAGATAGGGAATGTGAGACCCAGTTTTGTGTTTCTCAAGGGATAGCTAGTTCTTGTACCAACTTGCAGCTCTGGGAAAAAGAAATGTATCAAGCTAATGTGGTAGAGAAGGTAGGTGTTTTGGGAAGATTATAACTTACAATCTTGGTCAGTGCCCTTGTGTAATTAACTCATCCACCTCTTCACAGTTAATTCAGAGACTACTGGGAGTATGAAGAAATATACAGGATCAGCAGAGAGGTGTGCTTCCTTTTGTAGGGTTCTCCTGTCTATTCCTTTTCTCTCCCTCTCCCCTCCCGCCCTGAAAAGCACTGTAGTTACAAGCTTGTAGGAAATTGAGCTCATGAAGGAAATCCCTCCTGCTGTGGGCATCAAATTAAGGCATTTAGTGAACATGGACAGACCTCTTCAGACAGGGGCTGTAACAAGTTGCCCTTGCTGCTGCAGTATAAAGCCAAGTTCTCCTTATAACTTTGATTATGAAAACCTGGATACTTGGAGACGCAAAACCTTCCTTGTTTTCCATTGAGCAAGTTTGTACCACCCACTGCTATTCTGTCTAAATTTAATCAGTTAAGATGTGTGACTTGATATCCTCAGTTTCTTTTATTGTTAGAACAATATCATGGGGATGTGTTTACAGGGTGACTGATTTTGCTTAGTGCTAAGGCATTTTCTGGAGATGTCTCCTTTTTGGCTGTATAATCAAATTGTAATACTAATTTTGGCAATGGTATGTAATGATTTTTAATTAATTTGCTCATGTATTTCATGCATTTCTGCATATTTCGAAAAGTAAATCAAAAAGTGCAGGAAATATAGTGGCTGCTCTATAACTTATTTGAAGATTTGTATATCAAGTATTATAAAATTGTTTTAGCTACTTTCTGAGAAAAAATTGGTTCTTTCTTAGAGATGTATGAAAAAAAATCACCACCATCTCTGTTATTTATGAAACCTCCCTTATGAATTCATTAAGCAGTGTGGATTGTTATTCTCTGATCAGCAGAAGTTTCAGTTTTTCTCAGGGAAAGTTGAGTTTGGTTTTCTAGATATTGTTCTTTTTTCATTTTGATAATAATGTTTTACATTGTTATGTTAATAAGATACCTACCATTTGGAAATAACAGGAGCATTTCTGCGTGAGATGCAAAGGTGATAGAAAAATGTAATTTGATCAGTAGCAGCTTGAGAACTAGCATACTAATATATGGATTTAAATAGCAAATTCTTTACTTTCAACAGTAAAATAGAAATTTGCCTTTCAGAGGCCTGTTACCTCTGAGATAAATAGTGCTCACATAATGTGTAATACTCTATCACAAGCTTTAATAGTAGTATTGAAACTTGAAGGGTTTTATAAAAAATGGTAGAAATGGCTACATAACTGTAATATTTAAGCTTGAAATGTATTCAGAAGTCTCCAGTGTAGCATAAAGGTACTAACTTTTATTGGGGAATAAATAATTCCCCCATTGGGGAATGCTTTAATTTTAGATAGTGAAGTGTTAAGTGATGAACAAAAAACCCCCACGCACCATTGTAGCTGCTTTGGTCTCAAGATGCTTAATGTGAATTTGCCTTTAGATAGTTCAAGGCTCCTGTGACTAGGCTTCTTAGTAAGAGACCTGTGAAGATGGCGTTTCCTTTGGCTCAGTATTGCTCATCTCTTCTCTTGTATATTTAGGTCTCTATTAGCTTCCTTTTTTATTTCTTTCATATTAGGGATTGGTTTAGCTTAACTATTTCTGATTGCCCATGTATGTGCTTTGGAAACCTGGAGGCAAAGTGTTGCTGCTGCCCTGTGGTGGAAACTAGTTCTCAGTCGGCTTCAAATGCAGTTTAAAGTGCTGTGCAGATTAATTGCATCAAGTCTGAGCTAAATAACCTTGACTCTTTTTGGGCACGGGTGGGAGCAGTGGAGTTCAGCAAGTGTTCTGAACCTAAGAGCTTCCTGCCTCTAATGGCATGCGGTGAAGTTAATCATGACAGAGAGGGTTCCCATGTTATAAAGATATAAATGTGATTGTAACTAACTGCTAAACTTTAGGCCAGAAAAACAGACCATCAATTTTAAATTAATTGTTTTCAGAAGAATAATGAAATCTAACCATTATAAACTTTTGTCTGGCCCTTGTATGCTTATTTTTGTTGGCTCACTTCAATAAATTGGAAAAAAGTAGTTATATTGCACTTTTAAAGCAATGCAGCACAGTACAGTGCCACACAAATAACAACATTTGTCTATTCTTTTTTTTCCAATAAATACCAATAATGTTAAGTTGAAAGGTTATTATTGCATATCGTGTTGTTACATTATTGTGATTTATCTTTAATTTCACTGAAGGAAGAGTAAGCAGAAGTGATGAGAGTATAAGAGTTATATATGATTTTATGTTGATTGGTGTGAACTTCTTATTAAGAACCCAATCTTACCTTAATTAAAAATGTATGCTCCCCAGCATTATTAGTAATTTCAACAATATCACTGACTTATAATTTCCCAATTTTTTATACTCACTATCATGCTCACCTTCGTTTTGTCCTATTCTTTGCCAATCTTGCTCTTTCACTTCCAGTGATTTATTTTAAGTTTGTAAGTGTTGCCAAATAGTAGGGGGGTTGTACTTACCAGTTTTACTAGAGAACATGGTTGCCCTTCTGAAAATTAATTTTCTGGGTCTGCTAAGGAGCTTAGTAGAAGGAGAACTGAAATTACTTCTGAAATAATCTTGGCCAATAGCATTAGGAGTACCTTACAATAAAACAAATGCCTTTCAGTGAGCACACTTGAAATTTTATCAAGGAGAAGGAAACCATAGATTTTTTTATCTGCAGAGCACTAAATTTTAGCTTATTGGTCTTGTGAACTCAAAATTTGGAAAGAAGTATTTCTTTAACCGTAATAAATTTAGTAATCTACAAGAGTTTATGAATTACTACAAATTACTGCAAATAATTAGTCAGTAAAAGTAGTGATGCTACATACTAAAACTATTTTTATTGTTGCTTCTTTTAGTGTCAGTTGTGATAATGACAACTGAAGTTGGTTCAGAGACCGAAGTAAAGAAGGATTCTGAGCAACTGGGACCACACAAAGCCAAGGACAGGCCTGAGGAAGCATCAGAGACTCCAGGAGATCAAAAGTCCAGGGAAACATCCTCTGGAGAGGCTCAAGATTCTTCTGTCCCAGCACCAACTAGCAAAAGTAGTCCAAGTAGCCAGAAGAAGGAAAAATCTTCACCTGAAAGCAAGGGTATTTCTCGTTTCCTTCCCCCTTGGCTTAAGAAACAAAAGTCATACACCTTGGCAGAGCCCAAAGATGAGCCCAAGAAGAGGGCCACGGGGGAAGAGCAAGTAGTTGAAGAAAGTGAAAGCCAGGCACTAGAGGGGGTGGCTCAGCCAAGAAAGAGCTTGGAAGAAGCAACTGAAAACCGGCAGAATGCTAAAGCAGATGACAAAGAAAAACACTCAGTTAGCAGTGCTGAAATACAGGTACGTGTGGGAAGGCTCATAGGCACTTTGGTGTAATTTCAATGAAATCTGATTAATGAATTATGTAATTCATGTAAAGCTTTGTTAGGATCATATTGGGGAAAAAAATGACAGCTATTCCAGTTGCTAGGTTCCAGTTCTGCTTTTTGTGAAGCTGAATGTCAGCTCTTAACATTAATATTCTAGGGTGGCACACAGAGAATGTTTTGTATGAGGAGGGGCTGGTACAGTTGACACTGGTCACTGAGGAATAGGAGGAAGGGGAATCTTACCAGTAGGTATTAATACCTGAAAGGATGGAATGCAGAGTAGCCAGACCCTTCTCAGTGGTATGCAGTTAGATGACAAAAGGCAAGGGACCCAAATTAAACCCATGAAATTACATCTCAAAACACAAGAAAATATTTTTTACTCTGATGGTGATGGGACCTTTCCTTGGCAAGGGACGTGGCCAGGTGGTGGTAGTGCAGATGATTGGCCTCCTGGGGTGGTAAAGGTCTGTGTCAGACATTCAAACAGATCAACCAGAGATATTGTGGAGTGTTCCCCTGTGAAAATATCCAAAACCCAACTGGATATGGTCCTGGGCAAATTGCCCTCTGTGACCCTAGGGGCATTGGACTAGATCTCAAGAGATCCCTTCCAGCCTCCACCATTCTATGATTCTGTATCACTTGACTTTCATAAACACTGGGGTTTAGTTTAGTATAATTCCTGGAGATTCTTAATAAATTTGTTTCTCTTTGGAAGAAAGCCAGTACTAAAAAAAAGCAAACCTCATTTCAAGGAAAGTGAAAAAGAGGCACCTTTTCTGGTTTGAGAGCAAGAATATCTGGTCCCTAAAATAAGACCCTAATGCTTATGCTGGTTATTGTGATTCTAGTATGTGCATAACTTTAATGAATGGTTACTGTCTTATTTATTAGTAGCTTATAAAAAGAATGAACAAGTTTAAAATATACTCCTTTCTGAGTTTAACTGTATTTTATATAGCCTTCCAAAGAAGATGGTAAAGAAACAGAAGTAGAGGAAGTGGCAGAGAAAAAGGAAGAAAGCCAAGAAGAAAAAAGGGAGACAAAAGAAGTGCAGACAGCTGAAATTAAAATAGATAACATTCCTCAGAAGTCTCCAAAGAAAATCAAAACTGTGCAGTGTAAGGTGATGCTTCTGGATGGCACGGAATACATCTGTGACCTAGAGGTAAGGACTAAGTTAATGTTCCAGCTTAAAATTCCATCTTTAAAACTGTATCAGTTTATTCTTAAAAATCCCCTCTGCAGTACACTAGCTGTTATTTCACAGCTCAAACTTGATTATTTTTCTAAAACATTAAGGTTTTCCTGAAGGCAGTGGGACATGTGCTAATAAAGTTTTCTTGAGTTCATTAATTTTTTTAAAGTTATCTCAGCTGGAGATAAATTTAAACTTTTTAAACTTTAAAGTTTAAAATAAATTTTCTTCAGAAAGAAAAATTCCATTACAGCTATAAAACACATATTTATATTCCAAGTTCTGTTCTAGTTCCACATTTTCACAAAAATTGACTGCAGGGTAGTAACCTTGGAGTAGTTGTTGGTTTGGGATTTTTTTTCCACATAAATCAGGATGTTTAAATCTGAATGGCATCTCTGTTTTAATTAAAGTCTACACAAGTTTTATCTTCCTGAGCTTTTTCCCCATTCTAAAATGAGACTTAAATTAAGTGGTGGCTTACCACAGATCTTAGAATATACCATTTTGTATTTATAACTGCAGTATTTTAAGTCTGTCATGATCCAGTTAAGTCATTTGCCAAGAAACAAGTTTTCTCATTATTTGCAGTAAGAGTTTCCTGTAAGAACAATAATAAAAGTAATTTAAGAGGGGAAAAAAGTCATGAAGAAACAATTTGTTTTATATGTTCATTTGAATTATTTATAGGACATGAGCAGTGCTGACTGCAATTTTCTGGATGAATGTGTGTTCTTAAACACATGTAGAGTTTTTTATGCTCTACTACCATATCAAAATACTTAAAGTCTCAGAAAGCTTTATCAACTGATAACTGAAATTTCAGTTTGTGCTTTCTGCAAAAGATCCTAGTAGATTTCTGATACTCCTTTTTAGTCTTTGTTCAATATTTAGTGTTTGGGTAAATGTTGGTTTATTTCTGCTTTTACAAAGTTACTGAAATGATACAAGAGTTATTAAAAAGCAAAAAAACAAAATTTTTGCAGGCAAAGTCCAGTTTATCTTGCTTGACTTTCAAGTAAATCAGGTTTTAGTTTTGGGCAATTGTCATGATTTTCACATTCCTGATGCCTCTTCCAGTTTACTATGGATTGTAGACCACCTTCTTTATATTTAAAATATATATACTTGCTAATGGCAAAGTAAAACTGAAAAACACCTTGTTTTCATTACTGTTATTTGATGGCTTTTGGTAAAACCCTGTCTTTTTCTAATAGCCATTCTAAACCTTCATGGTAATCAGTAATAAAATCTAAGCTAATATACTACTGGGGATTTTTCTGTTTGACTTGCAATCCTATTCCTTTTTTCTTTTAGAACTGCATCAATTTGTATTCACATAAACTAAAAGGAGCGTGAAAGAAAATAAAATATGAAAATCAAACCTCATTAATTTAGTCTCTGTTAAATTTTGCCAGTTGTTCATTCCTACTGTATGTGTGTTTATATAAGGCAGTAGCTGGGAACAGGCATAAGAGGAAGGAAAGCCATGATAAAGTAGTTTCAATGTCAGCAAACAGATCAAGGCTGATCAGGATTTGCAGCAGTAACTAAATATGGAGCGTTTTATGTATATATACGGAGTAGATATAATATTATGCAATTAATTAGTCACAGTGGTGACTCATAATATGAGAACTTAATACTTGAGTTCAGCTATTGTGTACCTTAGATTCACTAAAATCTAAATAGAAAATCTTGAATTAATAGTAATGCTTTGTTTTTTAAAAAATAAGTGTTGATGCCTTATTCTTAGAGCATAAGCTGTTTCAGTCAGAAAAACTTTACTCTTTCAGCTTGAGTATGTTCTAATTAGCAAATGGTTAATGGCAAAAGCTTGGAGATGTGATTTGGAAACTAATGGAAAAAGGGACGGTTATGGTTACATGTGGAAACATTTGAGATGGAGAGACAAGTCCCATGAGACTTTATAGAATACACCCACCAGTACTCAGTGAGCTGGCTGATGTTCCTTCAAGGCCAAACTTGACCATATTGGAAATGTCCCAGCAGTTAGGGAAACTTCCTGGGATTTTCTTTTTTGGGGGAGGGGAAGCAAATGTCATTCCTATTTTCAAGAAACTTTTTTTAAATGCCATCTTAGGTTCTTAAAATTCATCGGTTTTTGTATGTCCCTTTTAGCCAATATGGTTAGATCTCACTTATTTTTGCTTGTAGGAAAAAGCAGTTGCATAAAATCTCACTGTTTGTTATGGTTGTCCAAGTACCTGTTTTACCCTGTTATGGGTTATTGTTTTTATTTTTTTTGTTTCTTTTTTTGGGGGTTTTGGGGTTTTTTTTGGGATTTTTTTGTTTTGTTTTGTTTTTGGTTTGGTTTTTTAGGCTTTTAAGATAACTCCCTAAGAAATTGAGATCTCTTAGGCTTGTTCTGCACTTGTACAATTACAAGCCTGCACTTTAAGACTTGATACTGTCTGCAAGGGCAGATGAGTTCAGGTATAATATCCCTAGCATTTCCTATTAACAGATTCTAAAATGGCAGCTCTTTTGTTACTGCTCATTGAATTCCATGATATATGCCAGTTGTTTAGTCTGACACCTCTTTCTTAATTTCCTTCTGTTTTCCCTTCTTTTAAAAAGCAGTATCTAGATTGAGATGCTAGACGAAAAATTCTGATAGGTTTTTTTTCTTTATTTCCATTCTGCGTTCTGTCCAACCTGTTCATAATTTTTCCTGAGAGAACAGAATATCCACTGACAATAGTCTGTGTGCTTAGGAAGAAATGCCATTTCAGTAGACCAGAAACTGCTCTCTAAACTCCTGTCCACGTGATAGTTAGATTTCTATCCTGCTTATATTCCCTTTTGCTTTGTGAGCTTAATTTAGTTTTAGACATATTTGTGGTTATGTTTCTTCAGCTCCAGTGATTTAAAACATTTCAACATACTTAATTTTTCATAACATGATTTTGAATAGGGAAAGAAGGAAACATTGTTTCATATAATGTCTTGTACAAAACCCAGTTTTTGCACATACACAACCACTCCCTCCCCCACTTTCCATTCCACTCCAACACTGAAGCTGATTTTGTTTCTTATTTTGCAAAGTAACATTTGGTCCATATTAAATTAGAATAATTTCTCAGAGATGACTGAAACACGTTTTTATTCAAGCTTAAAAAATTGATATTTCAATTCAGGAAAATATTGGTGAGCTTTTCCAGAATATGTAAAACAGTTGTATTAGAAAAGAGAGGGCTGCAGTTTTTGCTTAAGGTTGGTGTTTAATGACAGTTCATCTGGAATTAGCTTTTTAAAAAATGTATCATCTCTGAGACTTAGATTAGGCAGCAAAAGCTCTGTAGAGATTTTTCTGAACCAAGCTCTCCATGCTCCACTAAACATTTCTAGAAATTTAATGTTTACCAAGTGACAAGTGGATATCCTAACTTGCTGTAAATTGAGTTCAGCTATATTGTGAAACATTTCAGTTCCATAGTATGAAGCTGAGACAGACAGAGGGATTAGTTTAAGTGAATTGGTGAAGTCCTGTAATTGTAATGTGGCTGAAGCAAATTTGTGTCTGTTGACATTCTTGTTTTCTGTCCTGGCTACCACAGATTGGGTTTTGTAATAATAGCCTTTATATTCTGAAGCATCTTCTTCTCTCGGTATGGCAAGATCCCCTGTAAGCAAGAGGTTAATGCTGCATTATTGTCAGCTGAAAAAGAAACAGGTTTTTTTTTTTTTGTTTTTTTTTGGTACTCTGGAATCTTCAGATGGGAGTTTTTTGAGCAAATATATGTAAGAAATGGAATATATATGTACTGTTTAAGAAAAAAATTACAAACCAGCAAAAATTTCTATCCAGTTTAGTGCTTAATTATAGCACTACAAATTTGCATTAGGTGTATTTTGTTCTAACTGGAACTAGATCAGTTTATTTTGAATGAATTAGGTACATGTGCAAACTTAGCATCTATTATGTTAATAAAAAAGGGATTTACTACAATTTAAAGTCTAGTTAATATGAAATTGCTGTAACTTCTGCCTACTGAGACATTTCTGTACTGAGTTAAAGCACCTCTTGTAAAAAAGAAGTATATGTGACATACATGTTGCATTGAGAAATATATCAGAGTGAACAAAAACTGGTTTCTGTGACAAAATATTCTGAAAATGAATTCCTGTGGTGAGTGGTACAGAATAGAAACAGGTGGGAGGTGCTCAGTTGGGAAGAATATAGCTTTAATATGTTGAGATAGTATACTTATATATGAAATTGTGGGGAAAAAAGGAAAGTTCACTCCTGGTGAATTAGCATGTTTTTAATGGGATATTAAAATATCTTTTCAAATGACTAATTTGATGCTGTTCTTCCATAGTTCAGAATTTATTAAATTTTGCTGTAGGAGTACAGGTACCTTTGAATCTTTCTTTGTTTCTTTGCCGCTTGGGTTTTACATATTGGTAATTTAAGTTCTTTTTTGCAGCCACCTAGTATTATTTGACAGTGGAGTTATTTCTTCTGGCTTGTTTTTGCATGTCTTTCCCATTGCCCCAGGCGTGCCTGACATGGTTGATCTTTAGATTTCAGTATAAAGAAAATCTCAGATGTTTGTCTTTTTTGATGTTACTTTGTAAATTGATTTATCATCTCTGAGTGTCATCTATTCTTTTCCCTGAGAACTCTTTATTTTGCCTTAGTAGATCTTCTGAGTGATGTGAACTTGACAGTTTGAACTTAAAGTGAATAATTCTTTATCTGTGGAACTGTTTGAGCAGATACTTCAGTTTCTTTTGTGATTATTTCTTTTTATTTCTCACCTGTCTTTGTACTTTCATTACTTTTGAAGATGCAAATTTGAAGGACCTGGTTTGTAATGTTTCTGGAGTATAGCTTCTCCAAATATCCTTGTCTGAATGCCAGTGTAGATGCAACACCTGAGGTAATCCACTGTTGCCTAGAGAAGTCCACGACTTGAGAGCTAAACCTTGTTCATCAGTTC